GGGTGACGTGGCCCGCAGTCCCCGCGCCGCTGCGGTTGCGACACCCCGCTCTGGCCCGGTCTCCCCAACCGCCGAAGGCTGCGGACTGGGCCTCGGGAGCGTTGGACGCCGTTTGAGAGCAACACGCAGGAGGCGCGCCCGCCCGAGTCGCCTGCCTCGCAGGGCCCCTCGCAGCCCACTCGGCCCCGTGGGCGGGGCGGCAGAGCTGATGAATTCCGTGCAGGTTAGCGGAGGGCCCCTCGGGGTCCCGCCCTGTCACAGCGCTGTGGTCTCCGCTCCTCCTCGCGCTGCTGGTGGTGCCCCGGATCCGCCTTCCCTTCCGGTCCTCGGTCCTGGAGCCCCCGGAGGGGTCCCGTCGGCCCAGGGTCCTGAGTCTAGGCCGCGGATTGTGCGCATGAAATGACGTCGGGAAGGGTGTCCCGCCTCGGGACCAGGCATGTGCAGAGTCTGGGAGGCAGATTGAGTTGGGAGTGATGCCTCCGTCGTGTCTCATGGTTAACTTACAGCGGGCGGGAGTCAGGACTGCAGTGGCCGCCCGAGGAGCTAAGCTTCCCCTTCTGAAGGTTTGAAGCAGAGGACCGGGGCAATTTAACACATTTTATTCAGCGGGTTCCCTCTGCTTGCGGAGTGGAGACTGTGGAAGTGAGGCAGGAGGGAGGGAGCCTAGGGAGGAGTGTGATCTGACAGCCTTAAGGCCCTAGTACTGGAAGTTACCGCAGAAGGCTGAGCCCAAGTTTGGAGGTGTTTGGGAGGCCTGGCTCTGGACACCACCAGAGAACTGGCTGGCTGGGAGTGTTGGGGGCCCTTCCTGCCAGACCCATAGTTTACCTAGTAGCTAACTGCTCACCTGCCTGCTCCTGCTCTGGGCTGGACCAGTGACCAGAAAGATGTGAAGAGACAGCAGGCACCGGTGATGCCAACACTTGGTATCTCCTCTGAGTAGGGAGGCTGGGGAGGGCAGGGACCCAGGGGTGCTTGTGTGAGCCGTGAGATCTGGATAGAGATGCTGTGCTACCTGTGGGCTCTACTGTCCCCATCACGGCAGGGCAGTGTGACCTTTGAGGACGTATTCGTGTACTTCTCCCGTGAGGAATGGGGTCTCCTTGATGAAGCTCAGAGATGCCTGTACCGTGATGTGATGCTGGAGAACTTTGCACTTGTGTCCTCACTGGGTAAGTCCCTGGGTTAGTTATCTGTTTCTACATGGCAAATTACCCAAAGCTTAGTACACTGAAAACACATTTATTATCTCTCAGTTTCTGTGGGTCAAGAATCGGGCATATCTTACTGGGGTAACTGTAGCTCAAAGTCTTTTGTAACCTTGCTGTCACACTGTCCAGGGCTGATGTCTCACCTCAAGGCTCAACTGGAGGTGAATCTCCTTTCAAGGTCGTACACACTAATAGCACCACCTCCCCATCTTCCAAAGCAGCCTCAACATTTGTCTCACGCTTTGAAATGAAGGATTTGGGTCATGACTCTTGCTGTCTGCTCAGCAGATCCCAGATGACCTGGCTACACCTTGGGGGTGTGACTAAATCCCTGGTTTCTCTAATCCTAGATTCTGCTCCCTTTCCTCTAACTGACATTTCCTGGGGCCTACCTGTTCCAGGAATTGTAAGCCTTTACATGATCAACCACTCCGTATGAAGAGCAGTGTGTTGTTCCTGTAAGAACTCCTTCTAAGATTCATTTTATAATTTTTTTTTTTTTACAAAGATTTGATGTACATTTATTCCTAACACGTGGAATGTATAGTGTAAAGATTTCATAGTGAGTAAATGTTAAGCCGAAAAAGGAATTTACATCAAGGTATAGCTACATTGTTTGAAATACAAACATGCAGATTTTATCACTGAAAAAACCTCAGTTCTGTTTTTTCATCAGGAACTTCAACTGAACCTAAAACTTTTTCACACCTCAATTAGAAAGAAAACAAAACACCTTTTTATAATAAATATTTAATTTTCTTCTCTGTGGTGAGGGTTGCCCTGGGTCGCTGCTGGCCACTCACCAGCTCTTCTTTCCCCTTAGGACTTGCAGTTTCCAGGTCCCATGTGGTTAACCACATGGAGTCGGAGGAGAGCGCAGGGTTCCTGAGAAGGTAGACACATCTCCCGGCGCAGCAAAGAAGACCAGAAGGAGGCCTGGCCCTGGTGAGAAGCTGTGGGAATCAGTTGCCCCTCATACACACCCTAATCAGGGATTGAGCCCGCAACCTCGGTGTGTACCCTGAATGGGAACCAAACCTGTAACTTTTTGGTGTACGGGACAATGCTTCAACTGAGCCATCCTGCCGAGGCTCCTTCCCTGTTTTGGATGCTTTGCACACTTGTCATTTCTACCCTGACCTCAGGTACCTGTTAGTCCCCCACCCTTCCAGTCCTCTGTCTCAGCTGTTCTTCTCTTGGTACTCAGTGCAGTGTTTTGTTTAATGTGTCAGTTGTACACATACCCTTAAATTTTCCTTGAAGACTAAGTATTCAGTTCCAGCCAGATTTTTGTAGCCCTGGACAGAACCTTTGGCACAGCACTCAGCTGTCCCAAGGAACCAAGTTCTTGTTGGGAGACTATGTTTCTCCTTTTTACACTGTTTCCATTCTTGTATCCTCTCCTCTGTGGCATCTCCTTCATTCCGTGACCTTTGAGTCCCACAGCTCTTCCTCATCCTGATTCTAGCTCCCGTGTTCTGCCCACAGTCCTGTGGACTAGTCCCTGGTTGTATCAGACCACATTTGTTATGGGATGTCACTTGTCACCCATTAATCATACACTTCACCAGCATTTATCTTCCTCCAGATTGCTGGCATGGAGTGGAGGATGAGGCTCCATGTTCTGAGCAGGGTGTTTCTGTAAGAGTGTCACAGATGAGAGCTCCAAGGTGGGGTTCTTCCCGACAAAAGTCTCACTCCTGTGACATGTGTGGTCTAGTCTTGAATGACATCATTGCACCTGGCTGAGCCACAGGGCATACCATCTGGGCAGCGACCATCCAGCAACATGTGAGTCACATAAGGGAGACTTCTGGTTCAGTGTAAACCTTGATCAGAGGTAGAAGCAGCAGTGTGAAGAGAAACTCTTTTGAAGGGGAAAGGCCAGGACTTGTTTGTGAAGAGCTGCAGGTCCCATGTGTTAGAGAAAGCCTTCGCTTGCAGGGAGTGTCAGAAGAACTTCTGGAACAGCTCTGGGCTTGTCTAGCACCAGGCCCCTCACAGTGTGGGAAGCCTTCCTGGGCTAGTATCTGTAATGGGTCTGTGTATATCAGATTCCTGTTAGGCAAGAAAGCATAACCTGAGATGATAAAGCCTTCCTTTTCTCAGCCACCGCTGTAGAAGGGAGCCTCACTCCAGAGTCAGTTCACTTGGGGAGTCTCACAGGACTCCCAATGGGGGTGAGCCAGGGAACAGTGAGAGCCATCAGAAAATCCGGTGACAGTTTCCCACAAGGAGAGTATCCCTGCAAAGATGAGCTCTGCACACAATGGTGTGGAGACAGATGATAATCTGTACTGGAGAGTTTTACAGGAATAAGTCTCCAGGACATGCTTTCCATGAACAGAACTCACATGGACAGGTAACACTTCCATGGTCTACACAGGGAAGGATCTCCACAAGTGGAAGGAACGTGGGGAACATCTTAAGAAACGGTGTGTTATGCCATCAGCAGGTCATACATTACAGTCCTGTGACTGCAATGACTGTGAGAAAGCCTTGCTCATGATGGCAGAGCTCTGTCAGCACATGAGGATTTGTACCCAGCAAGGCCATGTGAGTACTTCCAGGGGAGGAAAGCCGGCAACCTCAGTCAGACCTTATGCAGCACCAGCAGGTTCACACTGGGGAGAAGCCCCAGGAATGCCAAGCATTTGAAAGAGTTTTAACAGTTCTGCTTTTGTCCAAAATACTATTTGCCACTCTAGACAAATTCTGTTTGAGTGCAGAATATGTGGGTGAGCCTTTTTGACAGCTGTTTTTTTTACTCATCACATGAGAGTTCTCATGGAGAGAAGCCCTGAGTGCAATGAATGTGGGAAGGCCTTCACTTTTTTGTGTTTTTTTGTGGGGGGAGGTAACAGGATCCACACTGGGAAAACCCTTTCGTGTAAAGAATGTTGGAGAGCCTTTTGTGACAGTTCTTCCCTAACTCAGCATATGAGGAGTCACACGTGGGAGAAACCCTGCCAATATGGTGAATGTGGACCTGCCGTCAGCTTTCATTCGTCCCTCACCCAGCTTCGAAGTATTCACATTGGGGAGAAACCCTATGAGTGTAAGAGATGTGGGGAAGCCTTTTGCAAGTGGATTTAACTCAGTCAGTTTCAGAGAACTCATACTGGGGAAAAACCTTTTAAATGTAACTCCCAAGGAAAATCTTTTGACCAGAAGAAATGTCTTACTCAACATCTGGGAAATTTTACCTGAGAGAAACTCCATAAGTGTCATCACTGGGAGAAAATCTGAGGCCAGTGATCACTTAATGTCGTGGAAATTGAACCAGTATAGGACCTTGTTCTGCATCTGAGAATTTGTGAAGGAGAAACACCAGTGGTTATTGTGCAATTGCAGAAACCTTCAGCTGTAGCTCTACCCTTAGCACTGAAAAGCAATCACAAGAATATTTAAAAAACAGACGAGTAGGAAGAAAAGTAGATGTAACAATAAAGAATTGGCATCTGTGGCTTCTTTTGGGTTTCCCTGACAAACCTGTGACAACTTGCTCTTGGTTGATTTTGTTGGATGGTGGGGAGCAGCAGGGTTTGAGATACAATGGCCTTGTCCCCATCACCTGACTTAATGTACATGCTCTGCCATCCTTGTTAGGAGCGCTGCTCACTTGAGAACAGCTCTGCAAATATTTATTCAAATCCTTTGTTGCAAAACGTTATCTCAACCATTGAGGAGCGTAAGTCTAAAAATGTGAAGACTTCATTTATGAAGCACTTAAAACTTAAATGAGAGTACTAAAAAATTGTTACCTAAAAGTATTTTGTATCTAAGAAAGATAAGTACTCCCCTATGAATGGGTATGTTTTACTGTACCACTTAAGAACATTCAAGGACTCAGATTAATTTATTATATATTGTTTTTGAGATATAATTGACATATAATATTTCATAAGTTTAAGGTGTAAAATATATTGACCTGATACATTCATGTTCCACAGTGATTGCTATTGTGGCATTAGCTAACACCTCTCGGTTCTCAGATTTGTCACTTCTAGTGGTGGGAACAGATAGGATCTAGTCTCTTACCAGGTTTGATGTTTATAATATAATTGTAACCTCTTTACTGTGTATTAGATCTCCAAGGACTATTTACCTACCAGCTGCAAGAATGTATCCTTAACAATCGCTCCCATTCCCCCACCTACCAGCCTTTGGTAACCACCATTCCACTCCTTGGTTTTTCAAATCTGGTTTGTTTTTGTTCTGTTTTTTTGGTTTTTTTTTCCAGATTCCACATATAAGGGATATCATACGGTATTTGTCTTTCTCTGCCTGACTTATCTCAGCATAATGTCCTCAAAGTCCATCCATGTTTCGCATATGACAGGATTTCCTCCTTTCTTGTGGATGAATAATACTCCATTGTGTGTGTATGTGTATATCACATCTTCTTTTATCCATTTGTCCATTGGTGGCACTTAGGTTGTCTCCATATCTTGGCTGTTGTGAACAATGCTATAATAAACATGGGCGTGCATATATCTCTTCAACAACCTGTTTTCATTTCCTTTGTCTATATACCCAGAAGTGGAATCACTGGATCGTCAGGTAGCTCTATTTTTAATTTTTTGAAAAACCTCCATACTGTTCTCCAAAGTAATGGGACCAGTTTATAATCCCACCAACAGTGGCGGGGTTCCCTTTTTTGCACTTTCTTGTCAACACTATTATCTACCTGATGGTAGCTCGTCAATGGTGTGAACTCATTGTGGTTTTGATTTGCATTTCCCTGATTAGTGATGTTGAGTACCTTTTCACGTACCTGTTGGCTCTTTGGAAAAATGTCTCTTTAGTTCTTTTGCCCACTTTATTTTTTCTTGATTGGCACATTCATTAAGAATATGAACTAATGGTCTTGTGCTTAATTCGTTGATTCCTTTAATGTTACTACTATACAAAGGCCCCGCAAGCAAGGTGTACTCACTGTTCCATTTAGTCCAGCTGGTGTGCTGGGGTTGAGCCCCCACCCAGGAACCAAGAGGTGACAGTTCAATTTCGGGTCAGGGCATGTGCCCCGACTGTGGGCTCCATCCCCTGTAGGGGGTGTGCAAGAGGCAGCCCAAGGATTAGGTTTCTCTTTCCTCCAAGTTTCCCTTTCCCTTCCTCTCTTTCCAAATATCAACAAATAACATTAAAAAACAACGCCTCAAGGCACCAATTAATCCGGTGTGTCACACCTTTAAAAAAATGATAAATCTCAGCCCCCAAGAGAGGTGAAGCACCCCTTCCAGGATCAAAGAAGGGGTCACCTGCTGGAGTAGGTGTCCCCCGCGGCCACGGAAATGTGGGCGCGTCCCCTCTGAGACGCTCTGTCCCCCCAGGACCTAGCTCCCCACCTTCCCCGACTCCCGTCCTTCGGCCACTGTCACCAGAACCTCGAAGGCGCCCTTTGCCCCAGTTGTGTGCAGCGCATAAACTACATTACCCAGAAGTCTGTGCCCAGCGCGTCCGGCGGTGTCCTGGCAGCCCCGGAAACGCGTTTCCTGCGCCCGTCAGGCGGAGGCGGGGCTTCCGGCGCCGTGACGTGTTTAGCCCGCGCCGGCCTGTCAGGCGTTCGTCGTGGCCGCTGAGGCTCCGAGCTCGGGGCGGCGTCCGCTCGCCACGCGAATCGTGGGCACCAAGACGGGAAGGACGGAGAAGGGGCCAGGGCGTCCCTCCGCGCCTTTGTGACGCGCCATGGTCCGGGTCGGGGAGCGGGCGGCCCTGCGCCGAGGCGTCCGCGGGGGCTGCGCCCTTCCCGAGGCCTTGGCGCCCGCGCCCCGTCCCGGTCTGTCTCCGGAGGCGGCTCCCTGAGCCCTCTGCGCGTCTTTACGGGGGGCTTCGGGGGACGGGCTCGCCCTGCGACACTCGGCCCGAGGGCTGGGGTTCCGGCTGACCCCTCCGGGTCGGCTGTCGGGATCGATGGCGGCCCCGGCGCTGATGGACCTGGCTGGGGTGAGTGGGGGGCCCCCCGAACCCTCAGCGACTCCGATCTCGGGGCTGGTGTGTTCCAGGACCTTCATCACCTCCCGCTAAAGGCCATGGAGCCAGGGAGGCAGCCTGCGGAGCCGGGCCTCTGTTCTGGCGCTGGTGGGAGCCATGGAAGGTTTGGAACAGAGGAGGGAGGTGACCTGACTCCGGTGTTATAGGCTCCCTTTGGCTGCTGTCTAGTTGAGGTCAGATCGAGGACATGAGGAAGGAGCTACTGCAATATTCCACGCGAGTGTTAGTGGTGGCTGGCCCCCAGCAGCGGCTGAGGATGTGAGAGAAGTTAGTGGGTTTTGTATCTGTTTTTTAAGTAGGGTGGCTGGACTTAAAAAAAATTTGAGAAACATTGATTTGTTGTTCCACTTATTTGTGCATTTGTTGGTTGATTCCTGTATGTCCCTGACTGGGGATCGGACCTGCAGCCTTGGTGTATCAGGACAATACTCTAACCAACTGAGCTACCGGCCAGGGCTGACTAGATTTTTCTGATGTGAAGGGTAAATGAGAGAAAGGGAAGAGTCATGCATGACCCCAAGGGTTTTTTGCTTTAGCAGGTAGGATGGTGGAAGTGCCATCAACTGAGAGAGAGGTTGGTCGCAGGAGTGTCAGTGCCTATATGGGGAGTTTCTTCCTGTTTAAGAAGCCCCAGGGACCCCTTAGTGGAGATATCAAGCTGGACATAGGATTTTAGCTCTGACTGAAGAAATTCAAAAGCCATGGTGTGGAGTGGGCTGGAGCTGTCGGTTAAATTTAGGAGGGATTGTCTTCAGGTCATGGTGGCAATGCTGTTAATAACCAGAAAGTCACAGCTTGGGACTGAGGACTGGGTCTCTTGCTCAGGCACCTGGGTGGCAGTGGTGGCTGTCACAGAGACACAGGAACACTTCCTGGTCACTGTGCAGGGTGGGGGGGTGCCTTGGGGGTGCACATGGTGTGGACCAGAAGGTTGTCTGAGGTGGTGGAAGGTGTTGCCAGATGTGAGGATGGTGAGGTTCAAACAATGGTGTACATGTTGGGAGGAGTGTGAACTGATGGCTGTGAGGTTGTGTTTGGGAGGCCTGGGTCTGGACTACATCAGAGAACTGACTGGCAGGGGAGTGTTGGGGGCCCTTCCTGCCAGACCCTTAGTTTACCTAGTAGCTAACTGCTCGCCTGCCTGCTCCTGCTCTGGGCTGGACTCTGATCAGAGGAATGTGAAGAGACAGCAGGCACTGGTGATGCCAAGGCCTTGGATCTCTGAGCTGAGAGACTGGGGAAGACAGGGACCCAGGGGTGCTCGGGTGAGCAGTGAGATCTGGGGAGAGATGCTATACTGCCTGTGGGCTCAACTGTCCCCATCACGGCAGGATAGTGTGACCTTCGAGGACGTGTTCGTGTACTTCTCCTGGGAGGAGTGGGAGCTCCTTGAGGAGGCTCAGAGATGCCTGTACCGTGATGTGATGCTGGAGAACTTTGCACTTTTGTCCTCACTGGGTAAGTCCCCGTTTTAGTTATTTGTTAGTGCATGGCAAACTTCCCCCAAATTGAGTGCTTAAAACAGTGAACATTTATTGTCTCAGTCTTGGTGCATCAGGAGTCTAGTCACACACAGCTCACCTGGCTGTTTTTGGCTCAGGCAATCCCATGAGGTTTCAGTCTAGCTGTCAGCCAGAGCTGTGTGCTCTTTTGAAAGCCAGAATCAGGAATAATCCGCTTACAAACTCCTCATGTCTTCATCTGCAAGATTCCATTTCTTGGGGCTTGTTGAACTGTATTAGCTCCGGTGGAGACAGGCAGAAAGATCCGGGTGCCTGTCAGGGCAGACCTGACTGCAGCCACCCTGAGAGAGGCCCAGAGAGGGAGGGCCTGGCCCTGCAGAACAGGAGCTGGGAGACAATGTCACGTTAGGGCTGTGTTCAACTTGTCCCTTCAGCCTGCTTTGTGTGTACCTGTGTTTTCTTGCCCATGCTATAGAGACATGCCAATCCTCCCTCTCCTCCACTCTTGGCACTGTGCCCACTTATTGTATCTTTTCCATCTTCCATCCCTTGGCCATTTCCCCTTCTCTGGCCTCTGTGTCTCACTTATTCTCTGCTCCCTCTGCTGTGCTCTGCAGCCTTGGCCACCTCAGTGTGTCATAAGATGTGCACAAATCCTTAAATAGTCCTTAAGAACCAGGGACTTCCTTGTAGTCAGAGTTTCCTGGACCTGGACACAGCCTTTTGCACAGAGCACACCAGACACCAGCAGCCAAGGCCCTGCTGACACTCCTTTGTAAAGGAGTGAGTTGGAGACCTCGCCTCTCCTCCCTGTACTGTACCCCATCGTTGTGTCTTTACCCATCATTGGGGCTCCTCCATTCTTTGACCTTTTGATGCCCCAGGATGACAATGGGCGCTTCCTTACCCCCCTCCTGGCTCCCTTGTCCTGCCAAACAGCCAGTGGGCTCATTCCTTGGTGTGTGACACGGGTATGTGATGGGGGCTGCTGCTGCACTTCTCCAACTTTTCTTTGCTTTCAGGTTGCTGGTGTGATGGCGACCACGAGGCAGCCCCTTCTGAGCAGAGTGCTTCTGTAGAAGTGTCGCGGGTCAGGACACCTCAGTCAGGTCCATTTATCCAGAACACCCACCTGTGTGAGGTGTGTGACCCACTCTTGAAAGACATTTTGCCCCTAGCTGAGCACCAGGGATCATACTCCACGCAGGAACTGTACACATGTGGTCCATGTGGGAGAGTATTCTTGTGCAGTGCAATCTGTGACCAGCACCAGAAGCAGTATGGTGGAGAGAAACCCTTTGGTGGGGCCTCTTTTGTGAAGAGCTGTGCTGTCCACACGTTGGGGAGACACTTTCCTTGCAGGGAGGACGGGATAGACTTGCTGGACAGCTCTGACCTCTTCCAGCACCAGACCACTCACTGTGGGTTGAGTCCATGCAAGAAGACTGAGCTCATGGAGTCCTTTCCACTCAGCTCCAGCCTCAGGCACCAGCAGGGGAACCAGGATGCACTGATGCTTTTCAGTTGCAGTGAGGATGGGAAAGCCTTCCTGAATACCTTTACTCTGCTCGACAAGCAGATAACTCATACTGAAGTGAGACCCGTCAGATGCCTGCCATGTGGAAATACATCCAAGGAGAAATCAGCTCTTATTCACCACAGAAAAATTCACAGTGGAGAAGCAGCACATGTGTGTAAGGAGTGTGGGAAGGCATTCATTCACCTGTCCCACCTAAAAATGCACCAGAAATTTCACACCGGGAAAAGGCATTATACATGCAGCGAGTGTGGCAAGGCCTTCAGCCGCAAAGACACGCTTGTTCAGCACCGGAGGGTCCACACTGGAGAACGGTCTTATGACTGCAGCGAGTGTGGGAAAGCCTACAGCAGGAGCTCCCACCTTGTCCAGCACCAGAGAATCCACACTGGAGAGAGGCCTTACAAGTGTGGTGAATGTGGAAAAGCCTTCAGCCGCAAAGACACACTTGTCCAGCACCAGAGATTTCACACTGGGGAGAGGCCTTATGAGTGCAGTGAGTGTGGGAAGTTCTTTAGTCAAAGCTCCCACCTTATTGAGCACTGGAGGATTCACACTGGGGCAAGGCCCTACGAATGCATCGAATGTGGGAAATTCTTTAGCCATAACTCCAGCCTCATTAAACACCGGAGAGTCCACACAGGAGCCAGGTCCTACGTGTGCAGCAAATGTGGGAAGGCTTTCAGCTGCAAAGATACACTTGTCCAGCACCAGATAATCCACACTGGAGCAAGGCCATATGAGTGCAGTGAATGTGGGAAGGCCTTCAGCCGCAAAGACACACTAGTGCAGCACCAGAAAATCCACACAGGGGAGAGGCCTTACGAGTGCTGCGAGTGTGGGAAATTCTTTAGCCACAGTTCCAATCTTATTGTGCACCAGAGGATCCACACTGGAGCAAAGCCTTACGAGTGCAGTGAATGTGGGAAATGCTTCAGCCACAACTCCAGCCTCATCCTACACCAGAGGGTTCACACTGGAGCGAGGCCTTACGTGTGCAATGAGTGTGGAAAAGCCTACATTAGCAGCTCCCACCTTGTTCAACACAAGAAAGTACACACAGGAGCAAGGCCTTACGAGTGCAGTGAATGTGGGAAATTCTTTAGCCGCAACTCCAGCCTCATCCTGCACCAGAGGGTTCACACTGGAGAAAAGCCTTATGTGTGCAGCGAGTGTGGGAAAGCCTACAGCAGGAGTTCCCATCTGATTCGGCACCAGAAAGTTCACGCTGGAGAAAGGCCTCATGGTCGTGACAGTTTTGGTGGACCTTTGGTGGCATCTCTTAAACTTGTTTAGCACCAGAAAGTTCACACTAGAGAAGGCCTTATAAATGCAGAAAATGTGCTGTCTCCTTGTTCATGCTCAGGACTCACACCAGAGGAAAGCTGTATGAGTTTTGTGGTTCTGAGGGAGCCATCGGCCTGCCAGTGAACCATGTTTCAGCCAGCATTTGTACATACCTGAGAAACAGTCACTACAAATAAGACAATGAACGTGTCCAACAGTGACACAAGGGACTCCTTTAGAACCCTTTCCTCCCAGTTCTTTCTAAAACCATTTCCCACAGTTCACAAGCAATAGCAAGCATTTTCAAGAATTTTATGTGATATACTTTCTGGGGAGTGGGGACTATAGCATTTTTCATTAACCGTGACTATTTTGAGATTAATCCGTCTTGTTACATGTATCAATAATTTGTTCATTTGTGTACCGTTGGCTATTCCATTGTATAGATATACTGCAGTTGTTTTCTGTTCATTCAGATGTTAGTGGATATTTGGGTTGTTTCCAATTTTTGGCTATTACAAATAAAGCTGCTGTGAAGATTTGTGGACATGTTATCACTGAATGACATTTCATTGTGTGGATGCACCACAGTTCATCCATTCACCTACTGAATGGCCAGGGCTATAGTTAGCATTTTTCTTTTCATTTAGTTCAAAATATTTATGCTTTAAAATTTTTTCTTGTAATTTTTCCTTTAACCTAGAGGATATTTGTCAGTATGTGGTTTTGCATAGGATCCTGGTCACTGATGAGCTGTCTTTTGGGGCCTGAACACTCATTGGCTGAATTTTAGAGGCTTGTGAGTATTTGCTAATTTTCAGAAGCTGGGAGTTACTGGAATGAGGCTGTTGCTGACTGCTGGCTTTCACAGGTCATGTGAAGTTAGCTGTCATCTTGGTGTCTTGTTCACGACTTTGGAATTTGGCCAAAGAACAGTCATTTCCTTTCCTGGGTATGAAAAACAAGCACTTTGTTAGTCCTCTCTTTTGTTCTTCCCCAGCCAAACCTGCAGGGGACATACCATAAGGCATATCCCTAAGGTTATTTAGGCGGATGTGATTTTGAGCTAGTGTTGCCACTAAGTGATTTAACTGCCAATTGCAGTGAGAGAAAAAATTAGCTCTAACTACTGACTTTTTGTAATTTTTTGTAAAAAACCAAATACAGAATATTTAGGGCATCCTGACAATGTCAGTACAGGCAGGCCTATGCCTTATGTACTACTGTACCTGAAACCTGAGTGCTCATTGAATGTCGGTAGATCAGTAAACATACAACAGTACAACTTCGCTATTCATTTTTACCTTTCTGGCAACTCTTTAAATGTAGTTTTTACCTTTCCCTTCAAGCTGTTAATGTGCAATGTTTTCAAGTATTAAAAATAATCGCATTTTAGGACAAAACCCTGAGTGAGGCCAAGGTTCCAGCAAGCCACTGTCTCAGCCTCATTCTCTGACTTCAGACTCAGTGCCTCTCACTTGTCCCATATATTTCTCTACAACCATTTCTGTCACTTTCCTTGGAAAGTTACAAAATCACTTAATAACATTTAGTAATAGCCATTTTATAAGTGTTTTTCCAGAGATAAGCTCAACTCCCTGGCAGACACTGTCGCTGCAATTACCGCTGAAATGATAAACCACCTCCGAGCAACGAGGCGAGGTCAGAGCTACCCAAACCTTTATCACAGGGAAAGGAGGTCAAGTTCTCAGAAGGGCAGACGCCATCCCAGCAGAACTCCTCCCAGCGCCTCCCACGGTCTCCCTGGGCGGGTGTCCAGAGTCAGGAGCGACCCGCCTTCTGAGACGCGCAGGTAACGGCAGGGGAACTACGTTACCCAGAAGGCAGTGCGGGGGCGGGGGGGACCAGCCAATGAGCGAGCCGTCTGGGGGCGGGGTTTCAGAGGCCCGCTTGTGACGCGGGAGGCTCGGCGGTTCAGAGAGTCCTGAGTGTTCAGTCGGGACGGAGGTGGGTGGGGCAACTCTAACGTGGCTGACGTCGTGGACGGCTTTATGAGAAATCTGGCTTTGTCCCCTTTAAGCGCAAGCGACGCCGCGCCCTCTTTTTGGAGCCACGGAACTCTTTTCGCAGCCCCCCGCCCCGTCACTTGGCCTGTATCCGCCACTTCTAGGGAGTGCGACGTACCAGCGGCTGGGAAAAACTACAATACCCAGAAGCCTTTTCGGTGCGCGACGGCCCACTGAGCCAATGAGGGCTTAGGTGAGGTGCGCTGCTGCGTGCGCATTGCTCGGAGGCGGGACTTCCGCTTTTTGTGTGTTGTGTTTTTCCCCTGGTTGTCATTTCGGTCGCTCTCGAGCTGTTCACCGGGTCGGCGGCTCAGAGGTGAGGCTTCGGGAGGAAAAGCCGGGGCT